CCTGCACACGATATCACCTAACAGGGACAAATTGAATATCAAATTAGCCGCCACTGTTACACCCAGTGAAAGACGAGAAAACCTGAGGCGCGGAAAATTTAACACGTCATAGCCTACATCCTCACCCGGAAATTAAGACCTTCCCTTGGCATTTTCGTCTTCTTCCTTCACTGGTGGTGCCTGTTGCTTCTAAGTGTTACAGGTAAGAAGAGAGGTGGTACACAGGTGCTAGAGTAAGACACACAGGATGCAGAGCTTACGATCACTATCATTTGATCATTTATTAAGGGTTCGAAAAATTTATACAACTCCACAGTAGAGGGTAAGTACAGCATTATTTTGGTATTAGTGAATACAACGGACCAACTTTGCGATGATAAACAGATTTCAGAATGGAATTTGTCCCGTTGTTCATCGTGTGTGCTAACAAGGTTCTGAATAACGCTCAAGTGATACAAACGTAGAAAGCAGCACCACTGTACATTTGCAATGCTCCAATGCAATACCTTCGAGAAGAGAAGAAAGAAGAAAACGGAAAGAGAGGTGCAGAGGCAGCCAGCAACTAATAATAATTTAAGCAAACAATATGCGACAACCGCAGGGTTTATTGGCTGCCATCTGTCAATCACTCCCCTGTGGAGCAGAGCCCAACCAGCTACTTCACAGCTTTATCACGGTGATACGGGACATGCGCTATGACCAAATCACTATGGGTGGGGACCTCACTGTTCTTTCCCTTAAACTTCGGTCTCGGTGTGCTCAAGAAAAGTTCCATAGGAATCCACTACACACCACTAGGAATGCAGGTGTGAATGAGAGCGTTGGAAGTGAAGCTAATTGGGGCCCTAGTGCAGAGTCATCAAAATTGGATTATATCCTAACCAGTAACCAGTTACTGATCGAAAACTTCTGAATCACGGCCCCTAGGTGGTTGTGACCTTGCAGTTACAGCGCTCGACCTGATTCTTTGCTAGCACACACAGTGGGGTGCCACCTGACCCTGTCTATGCCATAACACAACCGACTACACCAAAATGGGAAGACCTTTGTCTGACGCAGAATAGCCTACAGGGAAAATTCGTCCACTCAACTGAATTTCGTCCGTTTCCCTTTCAGCTGTAAATTTGTTTTGTTTGTGCTGACTGAACCAGCTTCCAGATAATTAGGTTTTCAATGAGCAAGAGCGTGGCCATGACTTCTGGTGGAATTGGACGTCACGTACTCTCTTCATACCACCGCTAATCAATACATCCTTGAATAGCCGTAATGGTTGGATTCTCCCTTGTCTTGCTGGGACAGCCTGGCCACCAGGTTAGGTGGGTCAGGTTAAAGAGTCAGCAGGTAGTGTATTCGAAGCTCAGATCTAGCAGGATAGACAGTCGCGCCACAATCGTGAACGTTAATTCTAGTTGAAGTCGAAAGGAAGCGAGCTCAAAGTTCAAGTAGCCTAACTAACTAGCTTTCTATGGGCCCACAGACTGGGCTGGGTTATCAGTGGAAGGACACTAGGAGATGGTAAAAGGTTACCGTCACTCAACAACCTAAGAAACGATGCTCATGTTTGAAGAGAGAAACGCAGCACATTCTAAGGTCAAATAGGAAAGGTTATATGGCCACTCTCCGAGAATCACACTGACCATGAGACGTACCTGCAATTCAGGAACACAATTCAACGCAGGAGCCAGGAGTGACACGAAATTATTTCAGCCATATACTGCTGAAGCAATCTTAGCCAACTCCAGAAGCGTATACTGACTAATGTAGGAAAGAGAATCCATCATCCAGGTGTATGCACCTTAGGAGATCCAAATGGTCTATATTTCACTAGTTTGGAAATAGGCAGAACATTCAATTCTACCCTTGACGGGCAGTCTAATGGCAGTGTGGGTTTTATTGGTATAAGTCATAAGAGCTGCACTTCCAACTTACCGAGAGAAAACCCAACAAGGGCATTCCAAATAAACCATGCGATGGTACTAGGAAAGTTGCAGAAACGCACCTCTGGAAAGTCCCCAGTTTGTGACGACATTTGGTCATCTGTTGTTAAATAGTACGTTGAAGGTATTAACAAGCCCTTATGTTACTTGTTTCAAGAATCCACGGCTTCAGGCAAATCGCCAAGGGAGTGGAAGGGTCATCCTTCTCCCTGTACTCAAGGGTGGGAATCGGCAAGTGGTCACGAGTTGCTCCCATTGGCATCAAAAGTACTAAGAAGTTTGACTAAGGATCACATAAGGCGACACCTCAACTGGACTAACACAATCTACGAAGCACAACATAGTTTCAGGAGAGGTAGATCCCCTGTTACAAATCTGTTACCTGCTTGGAATGATTGGAAGTCACGCTGGCATATGGATATTCCTGTTAATGTGATCCTCCTCGACTTTGCGAAGGTATTTGACATGGTTCGACATGATCTTCCTTTTCATAAAAGATAGACGACTTCTCTTGTGGCTAGAGTGCTACATAGACAGAAGAGAATTCTGCACCAAAGGCTGTCGTGTCCGACCATCCTGGCTAAGTCCGGCATCAAGAGTATCACAGGGTTCTGTCCAAAGTCCAGTGGTGTTTTTGACTTTACCAATGATCTGCCATTATGTCTTAGCTTTCTGACTCTTCTTTTCGCTGAAGACATAAGGATTTGGAGAACAATAAAGTGCTGGGAAGACTCAGATAATCCACAGGCAGTCCTAAAAATTCTGGAAGACTGGCATCTGGTCAGTGGCATGAGTTTCAACCTGAAAAAAATGCACAGTAGTACAACTGTGCACCTGTAGACTGCAGAATGTAAGCTACTACCTGCCTAACGTCACAATGCGACTTAGATCCAGTTCTAACGGAAAGATTGGATACAAGCATGAATTACACAAGTGATGTAGACAGGGCATATTTGTTCATGCACTTTGGGTGCGCTCATTCCTAAATTTTTACCAAGGCTATAGAGAGCATATGCAAGACTATACCATGAAGTGCACTGCATCACTGCTTCCCAGTTACTCAGAAGAGATGCAAAGACGGATAACAAAAGGGGTGATTGTGTTATTGAAGAAATTAGATCTCCTCACGCTCGGATACCGTCGGCTTAGAGGCGTCTTAACTACTGCCTTTAGGATTAGAGATGGCCAGAATCACCCAAATAAAGGTATTCTGCCACTAAAGAAGTATAGGCTTACTCGTGGCAATAAGCTAAGGATAGAACACCAGAAAGCAAGGAGTCCGGTGCGCATTCATTCCTTTTCAATTCAGGTTTGCAGCCCCCAGAACTCTCTCCCGCAGATGTGGTTACTGTGCTGTCTGTGGAAAAGTTTAAAAGGCTGGACAATAATGAGGCGACAAAAGGACTACATCCAAACAGTCTGTCCCTTTAAAATCCACACAATTAATGAGTCTACACTTAAACTTTTCCTTTCACTAGTGCCCACTCTTCTTCCTCATCTATTTGTTCCATTATATTATTATTATTAATGAATATATTTCATTAGCTTGTAGCGCCCCTATATTGTCTCTAACTATACGCCTATAGAACTAATTCACGTACCCATAATATACGTTTACAGAAACTGATTTCTCATATGCTTGTCGAATATTTGCTATTGTATTATTGAACACTGGTTTTCATTAATTATATTCACATACATATGTTTTGCGCGGTTTTCGCGCTCTTGCATCTGCCTCGCGACCATCGAAATTTCATTTCTTTAACAATAAATTTTTGGAAGTTTTCACTTGTGCTTCCTGATACAACGTTTCTATTAGGCCACGTGCAGCGTTTAGCGAATTGAAGAAAATGGAAACGTGGATATACTACAGTATTATAATCGGAATCATATTGAGTACGACCTAAGTTGTCTTTTTTGCGTTTTCTTTTGTTTAATTGTACACAATCTAACCTGATTATATCTATTATTATTTTTATCATTATCTCTCTTTCTGAAGGCTGTTCCCCATTGACAATTGACTCTTCTGACGTATTAAGGACCTTCCCGTTGCAAAAGGTCGTAATATAAGTATGTATTCAAAACTATTCTCTATAAGCTATCTGTTGCCAGAACAGTGAAATAATTCGTTTAGCAAATAAGTTTTCTTTTCCCTTGTGGCGTTGGGTTGTGTTACAGCCGACTGTAGATTAACATGTTAGTCTATCAAGCAAAGTTCAAGTTACATAAATAATGACTATCTATCTGTTAGCTAGACAAACAAACAGTCAGATTGCAGATACAGGATTTCAGAGTAATAAGGGAGAACTGGGCACCTGTTTCGTCCTAATAAGGGACTCTTCACAGGGTACCTCACCATGGATAGAAACCAGGACCTTCAGTTTACGACACCAAGCTCGTTGATCATTCAGCCACTTGTGCTGTACCGTGAAGTAATGAACAATGGGGTCCACCATATCATGGTGAAGTGAATTTTAGTCGAAGGCACTGACTGGCGGCAGCACTGCATCAAAAATTCTCGGATCATTGAATTCCGACTCAACCGACTGAGTGATCAATGAGCTTGGCCTTGTAACCTGTAGGTCCCAGGTCCGATCTCTGACGGGGTTGAGGTGTGCACTGATGAACAGTCCGCAAATGGAACGAAACAGTTCTCCGTAGTTTTCAGTGATTTTTCCGAAAGATGTTAGCTCATGACGGAAGTCTAACAATCGTAATCAGTATTTTGACAGACGCACACAACTCAAACTATATTGCTGTATGATTAGTGTTCATAATACTTCCTGTCATAATTTTATCTCTGACTTGCTCTCCTTTGGAATACAACTCCCAATATCACACTTTCTGAGTCATCACAACTGCTAGTTGTGACCTGTGAAATGTACTGCAAAGTTATGGAACTTTCATTATTGTTAACCGGTACTTGTGTGACTATCTGCCAAACAAACTAAATGGTTTCTTCTATCAATCAACTGATATTATTAACAAAAAAATACTCTGAGTTAGTGTCACAATTTAAAACCCAACCATTTGCGACACCTCTTTGTCGCTCATATATTATTAGCTCACAATACTTCATTTTAATACTAGAAACAAACAAACAATACAGGATATTGATTTTTTAAACATCTTATTTTCTAATAATAAAGTGTTACAGTTAACTATTTTAGACAATCGTCGTAGTTTTCACTATTGGCACATTACCATGTAGCGGGTGTTACGATCAAGACTTATAGGATACAGATTGATAGGAAACAGCCAAAATTAAAACCAACATTTCAGGTCAGTCTCTGCAGATGTAGAAGTGTTTACTCCTCAAATCCAGATCTCCTTTACGCTGTAGTCAGGGAATAACCTCATTGGACAACTTTTCATCAAATATGGGAAGCACGCGACGTAGTAGACTCGAAAGGTTCACCGCCAATACTAGCGGGTCTCTATCCGGTCTCAGATTCATTTCATGGAACTGCCGCACTGCCTGCTCGTCAGGATGACGAACCCCGCCACTAATACCTTCCAGGTTTCTTCACCAACTGCCCGTTCCACACTGTCGTATGCCGCCTTTGCCCAACGTCTCAGCAGCGTCGATGTTGGATCCCGGGCGCCCATCAACTAAGCGACCTCATCGAAGTCCCGTAAAACGCTCTGTATGTCTCCTTCTACGAAAACAGCAGGTCATGGGATCTACATTGTTCGAAGGCAGCGACGCCAAACATAATGTCAGAAGATAACAGAAGCGGCAAAAGACTGCTTTTTTTGTTGAGGAAAAACATCATATTTAAAATTTTTTAACCACATTCAAATTCGGCTTGATCAGTAGACAAGAAACTGTTCTGAATGGTTGGAGATTGGTTCAAGGTAAAACAATGAGATTGCTTCCTTACGACAAAGTAAACTAATTCCAGATTTGAGGAATAAAAACACTTCTACCTCTACAGCGATTGACTTCCCGTCAACCGCAATACCATCGCCAGTGTAAGTATAACAAATTCAATGAGACCTATACTAAACAAATGAAGTTTAATCAGTCATAAGTCATCATGTGTGTGTGTATACAAGATAGAAAGAAAGAATAAGTTACAGATGAACAAAAATTACCCTGACAATTTACAATCCAAATACTTCAGATTAACGAAATGAATTCGAATAAGAGAAAAAAAGTTCAATAACTAAAAATAAAAGAAAATGTACACACGCTTGTATAACTATTGTTTGTTTAGCATAAATTACTATAATTTTTCTCTTCTTCATCTTCGTCTACTCCTGTTGTTGTTGCTGCTGCCACTACTATACCGTAATTTCCTCGTAGCCCACACCAACACAGAGACAAAGAATAGTGATATTCACTAACACACACACACACTCACATACCACATATAACAACGAAAGACAATAGTTACATAACAGTACACAATAAACAGGTAATGCATTGCAATGCGATGATATGATGATATTTGTCAACAATGACGATGAATAACGACATCAGACAAAATAAAAACAAATCACAAAGACAAATACTCAAAACTCGAATCCAGGACCAATTGATTGAAAGTTGAATGCGCTTAAGCCAATGAGCGCGGAGAAAAAATACATATAGAATAAGAGTACAACAAATAAATCATTCTCTGATGAATGGATGTATTCATATGTATAAGAATTCGATAAAAATTGGGCATGAAATAAAAATCATAAGAAAAATCACACAAGTTAAATTATGGAGAAAAAAAGAGAGAAGAGAAAGACAACACATTTTATGACTATAAATTTTCTGTACAACAACAATGAGTCAACAAAAAGACAAGAAATAAGAGAAAATAAATGGCAATAACAGGTGTTTGTATGGTATGTATGTTTAGAAGAGATGAATAATGAAATCAAACAAATTAATCTTTATGAAGTATTAATCATAATAACAATAATAATAATGATAAAAATCACTGACAAGTTTCTTTTCTTACATCTGCATTGTTATTGGGATTATTATAATTATTATTATTACTATTGTTGTTTAAAGCAAGTTCAGGAAATAACTCTAATATAAATTGATCTAATAGAACATAAGTTAATTGTTTATTCCATTTTGAGTATTGAAAACAATCGAAAAGAAAATTCACATCATCACATATCTTCTCTGGATCAGTGACATATGAAAGACCTTTTATACCTATCAGAGTAAAATATAAAAGAAACATTAAAAAAAACATATAGTGCATAATGCATTACATACTTGAGAATAAGAAAATTTAATAAATAAAATATTCAGGAGTGATTATTATCAAGTGTTAGTTTGCAGAGGGATTCAACTATCCTATAGGTCTCACCACAAGCGGCCATTAGTTAGAGAATCATTGGAACGCCCTGTGAGAAGTCATGACGGAATCCACCAAGTCAGTTACTACTCAGTCGCAAATGACACTAGCTGGCTGTTGGCGAATTGAAAACAGATTGCTTTTCATGAAGCCAATGATTCAGGTTCCAGTGGATAAATGGTCTACGAGAGCTTGCCTTGTTACCTAAAGGTTCTGGACTCAAACGCTGGTGGGCATGTACCGAAGAAGAGTCCCAAACTAGGACGATACATATGTCCCTGGCTTTCCAATGGTTAGCTCGTGATCAAATCTATACTGGAGTGATGTTAGACATATCACACACCAAAATACACCAGTTCGAATGAACACCACTAGGATACAAGTAACAAGGAAGCATTTCTAATGCAACTGGTCACATATTATTAGCAGGAAACCATAAAGATGGATGAGGCCTGCAGCCTAGATATGACTACCAAACAAGACTTACTGTTGTAGACTAGCAAGACTTATTCAGTGAAACTGATGAATTAAGGAAGTGCGCTTTAACATTACTTTATATACTGCTACTACTGAAATTCCATTAAAAAAACAACTAAATCAGTAGCCAACTTTTAAAACAAATCACCAAACCACGGTTAAAACTCAAGAACTGAAAGTTGTTTATTCCTCTTTGAGTTCCATCCAACTTTAGGTTTCACGTTTTCATCAGAATTAAATTAATCGTAGCAGATGTCTATTGATTTCAGTCTTCACATTGTGAAAGTCGTTTATCGAATAATCTGATTAAAATCGCTCGATTCATCAACGTATTCGAGGGTCATAGTTACTTTATGACCATCTCTTTCTACTCAGCCATTTGCATAGGATTGATTCACAAACGTTGAGTTCAGTGTTATGACTGGTTAGTTTGTTCTCACTACTTTTCCTGTGACTGACCGCCTCCAGCAGTTTATAGGATGGTATGAAAATAAACATCTGTTTTATAATTCCTAATGCTTGATTGAATACATTTCATTATTGCGTATAACATGTGAGTAAATATTAACTACATCAGGAGGTTTTAGATCTAAACAATATAAAACAGCTAGATTGCAATCTAGAGCTGTACAAAGTGACATTAGATGTGTAAAGTTGAAAAAAGTGTTAGGATAAAAGGGAACATATAGAGTGACTCAGTGTTTCTTACATGATCTGTATACCAGATATCAGATCCTAATGTAGATTACAGATCACGTCATTGGCATTTTATTAACACCTTCCAGACAGTTAAATGCATGCTTTTTATTTCTTAAACTAGTAATTAATTAGTCACGTGAAATAACTACACAAGTACGTGTATTTTCTACTTATACTGCCCTTTTCCATGGAGCAACAAATCTTTGCCTCTTCAGTCCGTCTTCCATCTCTTCTTAGTGTGGGAATAGTAGTCAACTCATTAGTCGAAGTATCATTAGAAAAAACCCGAATCCAGTATTATATCAGACAAAAGATTTTGGCCGCAGTTATGAAGTTCGAGTCTGCACAAAGACACCCCAATATATTTAACTATCTCATCCAATCATAATTATGATAATTCATGATCGTCAACAAAGTTATCATGTGGGATTCACCGCCGATCACTGACAGATGAAGTATCTTGTCAGACACTTCAATCTCGAGGAGTTTTTAACGTTGGTGCAACGAGTTTATCGACTCCAGCATATAGACTATAATCAGCCCATTTATCAGGTTTTAAATTTAAAAGCAAATCAACCGTCCGAACTCTGAGTATTCATATATTCAACTGAATTCTAGGGTTCAAAACAGTAATGCAGGAGAAAACAATGGTTGTATGAACATTAGATAGGCTGATGACTATAATCTGTCCCCTAATCACTCTTTTATTTTATTCTTTTGAGTTCCATATAGAACATATGGCGTCAGTCTTGAGTTCTGAAGTCCCAGTAACAGTGCTTTTATTTTTACGGGGTGAAGTTGCTAGCCTCACATCAATCTTCCCTCTTTACCGAGTTTACTACAGCCTAAGCGAGGTCTAAGGGTTAGTCGACCGGAAGTTGATCCTTGGTCCACAGGCGTGGTTAGCGATCATTCTACCATTGGACTATCCAGTGAATGGATCGAATGTCATTTGGACTTCTACAGAATTCAACGACTCGGACTGTTTTCTACATCTCACGAAGGGTGTTTCCAAAGTTTCCGGTTCTCACTTGAACATACGCGACAAAGATAATCCTAACACAATGGAAATTGAGCATAAGGAATGCTACCGATGCGTAATGTGACATTTATGTATAGTTTAGAGGCAAATTAACTTAAGAGTTGATAACTAAAAAACTATTAGGAATACTAGACAACTGTTACGTTTTTATCCGAGACTAATCATTAGTGCATGCTATGCGATTCACTCCTGTCAAATAAACAAGAAGTTACAGGACTGGATCACACTGACTATTTCACTTATTTAAGAAGTTGCATCATCCAGAGCTAACGGGTTGATCGCTGACAAAATCTCAGCATGGATACAGAAGGCCCGTTTGGCATATTCAAACCTATGCCATTTCTGGCGTAGACGTAATATCCGGCTGTCGATCAAAGAACGTGTGTACTACTCAGCAATTCACTCGGTCCTTCTTTATGTCTGTGAGACATGGCCATTCAAAGTGGAAGACATGAAAAGGCTAGCTTGCAGTCTTTGATAATGGGTGCCTGTGTTCTATTTCCCATTTTAGGTGGCATAATACAGTGAGTAATATTGAGGGTAGGCTTCGGTCAAGTGCTATGTAAGAAGGGGAAATCAATCGACGAGGTTGTGAAGTTCCTTTGATTGAGGTAATTAGGACATGTGTTACACATGCCTAGTCTAGCCATTTCCTTCCTCGACAACGGGCAATGTTAGCTGACATCGGATTGATCAGGGTGGAAAAGAGCCAGTGGTGGTCAAACCAAAATATGGCTTCACAAGTCAATGAAATCCATAACACTTAGTTTAAGCCACGTTGGCAGATATACACTTCCCGAATGGGGTCATTGGGATTCTAAGAACAAATAACTGAGGACAATCTATAATATGGCTCAAAATCGTTCTCAATGACAGCGCAGATGCATTCACTCTTTGTGATTTCTGGTATCCAATAAAACTCTACTGTTTGTCCATATTACTAATCTTTTTGTCTCACAAATTTGTTTATTATCTCTCTTTTGAATCTCTTCTCTTGCTTTGTATGTTACATGGAGTGTGGCAACCCGAACTGCTGCACATCTGTGCAGAGTTGTACGTTGAAACCTGTCAGTCAGTCAGCCAATCATTAGTGCAAAATCAAAATAGACTGGAGGATAGAACTATGGGATGTGTGCCATTGTACACACCACTGAGAGAGATGAAAGAAACTGAAGTACTTCTTTGTAAAAAAATAATCACGACAGAACGTGTCTAATTCATTTAGTAGAAATGATTAGTGTTTTTCTACTCCACTGAAACATATATATAAACATGATGCAACAGATGATAGAAATGGACCTTACCAAGTATCGCTTTCTCAAGTGCAGCACGTGCTTTTTCTTTACGTTCAGATTTATCCATATCAACTCTATCAGAATAGAAACAGAAAGAAAATGATTTAAAGTTGTGTAATTCAATATTTCAACAACAAAAAGAAACCCTTTCAGCCTAGTCTTTCTATTGAACGCGTATAATTGATAAAAATACTGTTTACTTAAATACCATTACTGAACACTGAGAAGTAACTGATTATAAACAGTTGGATAACTTGAAGTCAATCGGTGGATAGTGACTAGCAGTAGGTTTCGACCTACTTGGGGCTCATCACTGGATGTACTTGTATTCCCCTGTGAGCAGTGGTATTCCCACCGAGGCTCAAACCCAGTATCAACAGTTTCAAACGCCAAAGCGTTATCTACTAGACCACTTGGGCCACGACAGCCAACTCTTGTGCAACGGGTCTTATTAATTATTCAATTCAGTTTAGATTTCCCTTTCGATTGATTGGACTGAAGAGCCCGGTTTCAGGTTGACATGTCGGCTCCTTGTGCAGATGGTTCGACGATGTCTGCTTGGATAACACACTACCTTTTTATGAAAAGAATTCACAGGGAATTCACAATTAATATCAATAATATGTGTGCAACAAGCTGTAGTACTATGAATCTACCTATACCTTTTCTTTACGGGACAAAATTAGCATGACTATGTTTCTAGACATAGTGATGTTACCTAACTAAAAGTGATCTTAACTAAGAGCTTACAAATAGATGGAGAATATATGCAATAAATACTGTTCATCAAAAACAAAACTCCAGATATTTGCAAGATACCCAGTTACAGATATTGTGAAAACAAAATACTGGTCTTTCATAATATGAGCTGCTTGATATCACTAAATGACTACAAGATTGGAGAAATGAGTGCTAGATGACATATAATACTAATTATGACGAGCAGTTGGGAACTAATCACACAAATTAATAGCACTGAATAACCAGATTTAAAGGACTTAAACAATGACAAGCTGTTTCACTCATTTGTAGATGAAATAATCACCGGTTTGCTGGAATCACTTCACTAAACAGAATCATATCGTGCTGAAAATAATCAACATAAACACATCCAACAGACTGGATCCAAAATAGCGCGGATAGTAAACGGCATTGTCTTATAATCACACATATGGAGTACATTTGTTTCGCAGTAACTATTGTTCTTTATTTGACTGCTTATGCATAGGATTTGATTAATATATAAACCTACCCCTAACGCACTAGTCACCAATAATAGCGCTTTCTCTCTCTCTCTCTAGAGTACACAACCCAATTAATTCACTGTGTCCGACCAGTGGATGCGATGAAAGTTAACATAAATAAAAATTATTTTAAAAAAACAGACTAGTGCTCACTTTTTAGCGGAGTAATGAAATATATTTGCTAGATTGAAACAAAATGAAAGAAAGGAGTAATAATGCAATAACATAATAAAAAAATTCAGCGTAATGCAATAACAATTATTAGATAGTTAGAGGTAATCAGCAGGAAGCCATGAACTTAGTTTTTATCCTTGTTGGCATTCTTCAGAAAGACGTATTTGTAACAAATGTTCCCCTCTGTGACACTCGGACCCATGTTACTCAGTGCGGCAGTCAGAGGCATTAAAGTCCCATAGAAGGTCAACCGTCGGCCCAAATAGGTCAGTGCAGGAACATTTCCGACTGCGGCGCTGGCTGACTCACGTTCGAAGCTCAAAAGAAGAAATCAGTTCTCTTAGCGGTTACAGATACACCTTGCTGGTAACTGTCAAAAAGCAAGAAACCTAAGTCTAGAGCTTCTTGTTGATTGCCTCAAACTATTTAACACTTAGTAGGTTGATCACACCATGCACATGGTCTGGGGTTCGAACCCCGGCCGACGCACTCCTTTACCTCACTAAGCCAGAAAAATTGCTGGTGAAGAGGAAAGGTTGGGCATGAGGCTAGCAACCCCATCCTGTAAAATAAACACTGCTAAAGAAACTTCAAGCCACTAGCTTGAAGCCCTATGTTCCACTGGGGAACGTGAAGGATAAAAAAAAAAGAAGGTTGATCACACATTGCAAAAACTTGAGTGATACAACTCTGTCAACAGCAACACAAAGGACTATGTATGATACAGGATACTATCTGGTTGACAAATCAGAGTAATCATAATTATTTCAAGTCTCAATTTGAAGTCGAGTGTTAAAAGAGACGACAAGCAGGGAAGTGACACGATAATTGTAAAATATATGACAGATCAACAAAACACTGAAAGTCATGGGGGCATTGGGATGAATAAAACTCACTGGCTCTAAATACTGTATAACCGAAAAATCTACTGACTTGACTTCCTATGCTCTATTTCTCTTGTCTTCCTTCTTATTATCTTTTGAATTGTTAATAACAGATAATGCAACCCGACTACACGGTCAGCATATACGTTTCTGTGTACCAGAATGTATAAGTCTCTGTCTGTGAGACGGGAACTATTCACTCAATTGGTCACATGCAGACGGACCGAAGCCACTGAAATGTTATCGAAACCAGAAGATTATCAGTTGGAAATCAGGTCTAAATTGGACCATAGTCGTACGATTATGTGGAAGTATTAACTGTGACACCAGACGAACAAGTGAATCGATCAGCTCTTATTTCTAGCCATAATGCGACTAGATACAGTGTTTTGAAATTATGTAAGAAGAGAACAATAGTTTAATCAGAATCATATGATATGATTTTGTTCTGTTTTGTTGAATTTTATTAATCACTAAAAAGGAGCAATAAAAGTGTTTCTTCTATATGCTTTAATTAAGTCGACAGAATAAAAATGAAATGGAGATATGATATAGTTCTACATATCTTCAATTCTTGTGGTTCCAGAAGTTATAGTAGACGTAAGTGAATATGAGGAAGTTAGTATAAACTCGAAGACCTACAGGTGAAAACTAGCAAACTGGTAGATGAAGTGCCGAAGACGGGATTTCGAGGGAACATAGAGAAGACGGAGGTGATGAAGATAACCAACCAACAACAACACCAACAACAACCAACACCAATCAACATCAACGGGAGAAATTTGACAGAGGTCACTTCCTTCACTTATCTAGGAAGCTTCGTTTCAACCAGACAGTTGGAACGGATGAAGATGATAAAGCCGGTCAGCCAGAATCAGAAAGGCATATATATATCTTCATTGTTCTGATATCGGTTTTGACATCTTCTGCACTCAGCATTAAGAACAAGATTCAGATTTTCAACAGAAATGTCAAGCCAGTCATTTCTTCTAAATGGGTCAGAAACTTAATTGGCGCGTCACGAAAAGCATTTCGAACAGGCTAATGCAAATTTTTATCAAAAGCTGTCTTCGCTGACTCCATAATGAAGATCAAACGACAGGCCAGAAAGAATTAGTAATAAAGGTTCCTTACTAATTTTCTTGTCATCTGCCGTTACAGTGTAGCTGCACTCTAAAGCAACCAAAATGCAACCCAGAAATATATCGTTAATAGCACGAAATTTCTATAGATCACAGCGTCGACTTTCTACTTGGAAAGTTCATCCATTTAATTTAATTTCAGTTGTTAGATTTTATCACGAACAACAACACCAAGAGGGACCACTGTAAACCAGAGGGCACTGGAGAGCTGATTCGTACTAGTTTGGAACTCTTCAGCAATGAGCACCCACGACACCACCAGGAATCAAACCTTCAGGTTACGAGACAAAGCTCGTTAATCATTCACCCACTTGGGCTGCAATTCAGTGATCCCTAAATTCTAACTTAGTTAACTCGTAATATAACGCTACCTTCAAACAATGACTTTGATAAGCATCCACCTTACCTTGACATGTCGAACTCCACTACGTCACAACTTCTCACTACAACTTCAGGACATCCATTTAGTAGCCATTAATGAGCTTGAGATTGATATTTAGACTGGGGGATTTGTATGGATTTGGATTAATTTAGATTTCATAGCGAATCAACATTAGTTTGTGTAGGATACGGCTTTCACTGACGGCCTATTATTCAGTATCTTTATTAACGTTTGATTAGAGTACTAAATTACAATATCGTTACAAAACGAGGTAAAACCGGAAAAAACAGTAATTCTGATTATGTGGACAGACTTGAAAACAATGCAAAATTAAAGAATACTTGGCTTTATTGACAGTTGAGACATAACAGTGAAGAATAAGCTATCTTCACTCAGCAGTCTTCCAAAATCAAGTTCCATTAAGATTCAAGAAGTGTTAACCAGTGAAGCATTAAGAGGGCGACATATACATTCTAAACCTACATTACTAGATATCACTGAATGTGAATAAAATACATAACAGAACTGCTCAACAAAAGTGAAAGAAACAATTAGCTTATACATCATATACACATACCAGTATAACTTACTTTTAATGGTTTCTAACATACTAGCTAAGTTTTCATCTGAAAAAGTACTATGGAAGTAATGCAATAAACGTTGACTTAACCAATTATCAATTGGTGTTTTAAAATAGGTGATAAGTATGATGCCTATTCTCAGAATTAACTGACGTAAACGTATTTTAAACTCTTGTTGAATAATTGTGTATAACTCCTGCAATGTTGAGAATAAATCATGTAGACTAATCGATACTGTTGGTAGCATAATTCGTGAATTGCTACTGGTTTGAATATTATCAGATGTATTGGTGAATTTACTGTTCGATGTTATTTCATTAGACGAGGATAACTGAGGTGTTGTAGCTGTTGGTGTTGTGGTTATTGATTGTGTCGACTGAGATTCAGTAGTCACACAGTTGTTGTTGTTATTATTACTGTTACTGTCAATAATTGGTAATGATGGACCATTAAGAAGTGCTTCACTCCAACATGGATTAGTAACATCCCAAGGATCTGTTGATTTCTTTTGTTTGAGCGTCTGAGAAGCGTTTCCACAGTCACTTATTGATTCAGAAGAGGTGACAGTTTTGGTTTCAGTTTCATTTAAATGAGATGATAATGACTGTGGATCAGTGGGTGTTGAAGATTCAATTGTCAACTTATCAAATAAGTATAGAATCATTTCAGATAGCCCATCTAAGTGTACAGTTGATATTTGAGATGACTAAAAGTGAAGAGAAGATAGAACATACAGGGAAATAATTTATAGTGGTGTTTTAACTAACAATTTTACAGCCTGGCTGAAACATCTGAAGAGTATATTGTAAAGGGGAGTTCTTTTTGTTATCAATAACTTCTATTGTCAAACATCTTTCTCATATGGTTTAACAGTTATATAATAATGAACTCAATTTATGTTTTGCAGAGGCATAGATTATATTCATAGAAGTCAATGATGGTTTGGTATTTATACTATATGAATCAATTTGTCGTAGAAAGCACACACTATATTTTCTTATCTTTGAAGATATCTGTGAAGAGCTCAAAGGATATCCAATCACTTTGCTTGTACTAAGAAGACGGTAAAGTATGGTTGACTCCCTCTCTGTCTCTACCAACTAACATCGACACACTATACAGTTTGATCGTAATCCTTCTGAACATTCGTACAGTCATCTGTAGTATTTTTTTTCTCCCTATGGAGCATTTATATTACCTAGTCAACGTTGCATAATTAGAATTAAATGACTGACTATTGGTAATCATCAACTAAAGCGTACAAAAAGCTTCGGGGAAATTCAAAGATCCTAGCTTATGTCACTGTCAAAGACATTAGCAATAAGCTGTTAGGCTCTAGATTACAGCCTCACCTCCCCCCACTCTCACAGTGTAAATATCAATCGTCAGATATTAACTAATGCCATTGTTTAATGTTATAAATATACCCTAAAATCTATGCATCGAACTTGTGCTACACTGGTCTAAAATGGGAAAAAAGCCATTCGGATAAATAACAACATTATTGATCATATAAACGGGTGAGTACTGAATTCACTTAGCCAAGTAATGAAACAATTAACATCCACACATTGACTTAAAATAACTTTTACTATTGCCAGATGTTTGGAACAACACACTTCACATGATTAAGCTGACTATTCAACCAAATAAAGTATTTCCCCTTTAGGGGTCGTCTTATCACCATAACCTTAGTTGTAAGTAATTTGTTAATGACAAAAGATAGTCTTTAAATTTGTTTTCAGATTTGTGAGGACTTAATTGATTATAGACTGGAATTTGCTGTTCACTAATATAAGCAAAAAACAAACTAAGAGAAATTAAGAGGCGCTTAACAGTTGTTTCATTTAATCAAGTTTTGTAACCCTAAAGCAGCAACAACAATCCATGATTTGGTGAGGGGTAAGTTTCAATGCGAGTAGGTATAATAAAAAAAAGGAAGTTAGCACTGTACTAACGAGATGGAATTCAATGACGCATAATTCCCAACTTCTGCTTATTCACATAGTGTAGACGAACGATGGATGGATACATTGACGTTTAAAACAATGCTGAAGATTAGAATCCTGTATGAAACTAGATCATTTACTGGGATGTTCATCTGGTAATTTCTCAGTAAACTCAAAAACACATATCTTTTTACCTACTAACAGCTACTAATATATGTATTTCATAGAAACAAAATTTAAATCAGTTTCAATACATCCATCCGAATATTGATTGATTACTCAACTCGCTCTGTTGCCCAGGAGATGTAACAAAACAATTGGAAACAGAGTCCAGGGCTTAAAAAGTATTTTTCTATGCAAATCATCAGTGCATTTTGAATAATCATATATTCATAAGCATCCAAAACAGCACTGCTTTACCCGAAAATTATGTTAATGAGTAATTTTAGTTGTGTGTGTGTGTGTCGAGATTTCAAGTATAGCATGCTATGAATATAGCATCATAACTCAAAAATTACACTGAGAAAGTTTACCTTTATTATTACATACGATATAACATAAATACTGAAAAGTGGTAATTAATAACACAGACAATGTCTTTTTTTTCAAAAATAGGAGACTTACATCATTCGTTTTATCTCTTCGTTTCTCATAGGTTAGACCAGCATTATTCCAGTAGACACGAGAACGTAGACGATGATCTAGGCTTGTTCGTCCATGTGACTTATACTGTATTGAATTCAATACATAACGACCATAATAATCTATAAATTTTTCTGCGGAATATTTATCTGATTTAAAATGGCTAGATATAGACTTTGGCATTGTTGTAAGTAACTGCTGTGTGGTGTTTGGTAAAGAACTATACTCACTACTACTAGTAGTAGTATCATTAAGTAAAGAGTTGAAGGTAAGCGTACTATTCACTGGTGAATTAATTGCAGGGAAATTTGATCCAGCTATAAGTTTGGCCAATTCAGATTCACCTGGAGTTTTGTCAATTCCAATCGGTTGTGTATGACATGACAAGTAATACGAAGTTAGAAAGTCATCTAAAAATTGTCCTTTCTACAAATCAAATTGGAAAAAACAATTATGTTGTGTAACTAAATCAGTGGGTGAAGCATTTCAACCAACTGTACGTTTAATAGACTATATAATTTACAGATTACACAGATTAAGGTAAAAAGCTCACTAATCAAGATATCCTCCGGAAAACTGAAACACTGAGATCAAAATACACGATCTCCTTGATACCGTAAGTGACAATGAAGAATAAAGCAAACAAAATATTGCGTACTACGGATTAATGTGAGTAGTTGTAAACACCACTTATGTCAACCAGAAGTGTTTACCAGCCAGATCGAAATGACCGAAAGTACGTTCCACTCGGAGCTCAACAGTAATAATCCTGGTTAGATTCGACCCAGATAGTCGAATCTTACTGCCAATAAAAATAGATTCTACTACGGAACTTGAATGTTAGGTGTAAAGAGACCATAAAAACCTTAGAAACTTAACCACAGGTAACTTTGTGTAATTTCTCATGTTAAGTAGGACTCATAGAACCTTAAGTAAGACAGATGAGTCAGACTAGATTATTATAAATTTCTATCGTATGAGGTAGATCTGATAGGTATTAAAAGGGAGAAATGCACGTAAAAATGAGAACCATTACGGACGCCTTAACCAACATACTTCTAAGAAATTACCACCTTTGATTTTAGCTCAACTTATTAAGATGAAAAGAAGTGGTACAAAAATAGTTTTGTTACAACATCAACTGTTTACAATCTTTTGAATGTTTTCAGGGTTAATCTAGAAGAAAACATGTCAATTCTTTCTTTTAGGTCGGCTTAATACATACATGTGTAATCCAAGTGTCATCCTCGAATCTTCAAACGATGGCGTCTCAGGGTGGTTTCTAGCTTTTCCATTGATCTAGACTTTATTACTGTATACCAGAATAGTACATGCATGATCTTCACTTACCTCAACAAGCTTTATCAGTAAAGTAGGATTGGGAGAGAAAGAAGCGAAGATTGACTGACTGACTTACTCAGGTAAACTACTTGGCTGTAGTCCACGTGACCACAGACACCTCATGTTAAAGACTTATAGTGATGTAGCTCAAAATCAGTCAAACTGGTGTAGGTAGATTCAAGTATCATCTGAATCTTCCCTGTACAACGTTATTTCTTCACCTCTTTTGTAGATTGTTATTTTATTTAATGGAAACCAACAACTTTTGAATAATTATAATGGTCATTCCTATTGTTTCATAGTCAACTTTTTCCTATTGTTACTACTAAAACAAACTTAGTACATTACGGGCACAAAGGCATGCGCTACACAAAATCTCACAGTATATGCGAGAATTGGGATACTGCTCGGACGCCTAAATTGAAGCAGAAGGGTTATCTTAAAGGGCCATCGCCGAGCCTTTGACTTGATGTTTGGTTCACAAGGCAGTGGAGCAGTGTATTCATGGTTGCCAGTGTCCAAAACAGTTTCATACACCATTCGATCCTTTCGAAATCTGGAGCCCACTTACACCATAGATATGAAATCAACTCCCCTACGTAGATGTTCATGTCTACCAGTCCAGTTTCAAGATCAAGAAGTTCGCACTAGCCCTGTCATTTTTATGAGAAACACGCCCACAGTAGCGTGAAGGCAGTGAAAAGAAATTATCTCGCAGAGGGTATGAACGGTTCACCACATGAGAGGATTTTGAGAGGTAGACCGAAGTTTACCCATCTTCGGCTGTACCATGTCGTTTATATTCACTTTATATTCACTTTACACATGATCTGAAGATACAAACTGTAGAAAAATTAATCCAATGTTGATAATGTCCACCTCCGGATAACTGAACTGTCTGCCTTGTTACTGTCATGTATGGAATACTGTGCATGGAACGGACACACACTGAGACCTTTGAGTGACATCGCGCACAGGGTGGAACCCGAATGGAAAACAACAAATTAGGTATCCTAGAGTCACATGAAGGAGATCGTGTGAGGAAGGGATGAAAGCTTATGGGCAATCGCAGGGTCAGCTGAAGAGGATGAGTTGTTGAAGTCCTATGTTTAACTTGGAACCCATTGGAATAACAATAATAGTAGGGTATGGAATTACTAAAGAAGAAAATCTATTAGTCATGTCCCAAAAACGTGTAATTGGTCTAAAAGCCCTGACCAGCCCAGCCCTGACAGGCTGGAGGAAAAGCAATCAGTAGCCTATAAAAGGAGGTGTTGAATGATATACAGCCTTCAGTTATACTTATTCACCACTAGCTTAATACATTCTAACACTAGCTAAACCAATTTATTTAAATGATTGACTACTGTGGTTTAAAAAGCATTTTATTCACTGATTAGGAATAATTGTATATGGAATTAATTCCTTAAATATTGACATGTTCAACTATTGATATAATAATTCAGTAGTATATTGAGGTTGTTAAATAATTTCTATTCACACGAAAAGTAGAATCAAATATAGCTAGAATTTGGCAATCAATACGGAAACACGACTGTAAGTAAACGGGATTTATCGAAAAGGAATAATAATAACAATGATCATACAAAGCAGTACAGAATTCTGTTTGAATCAATACACAACAACAACAATAATAATAAAATAATCATAAAACATAACAACAAAAAAATAACACCAGTACTAACTGAGACTACTACTTCTTCTTCCACCAGTAAATGAATTGCAAAACAAACATTCATTCACTCATACAACAATATTATTACCATGACAACAGAAATCAATTTTTGCAAAAAGAAAGAGATACATATAAAGATTAAACCAACAAATTGTGTATATTATATAGAAGTGAGAGAAAATGAAAAGGAGAGAGAGTTATGTGTGCGAGATTATGAAAAATAAGGCAAATATTGGTTGGTATACAGACTGCATGAAGAAAACAGATAATAATTTAATGGTTTGATAAGTTTGATAACTGCGCCATATAATCACTGATTACGAAATATAATCTCAAGTGTTTATTCATAACTAGATAACGAAATAACCAAACTAATCAATTGAAATCCTTCCAAAGAAGTCAGAAACGTCTTTCGTTAAAAAACAAACAACAGCTTTAAAATCGATTAAACAAATTTGAGAATTTCACGCCTTGTGCAGGTTAGTATGCATAAAATCAATCATAAGTATACTTTAAGAGGGATATAAATACACCAGTCTATGAATATAGAGTCAGATTTTCGTGTATTCTTATACTGCTGTATTTTCGAGTGGTTTCATGATATACCCTAATATGGGCGCTTATTGTAGAGTTGGCATTTACACGTAATGACACAGTTAATCTATTATTTGGATATTTGACATCAAATTATGAATTGGTAAACTTTTTATGAGGTACATGTATTTAAACAGCTTCAGAGTACTTGCCAGTCTATGGCGGTCTGCTTAAATCATGGGGTTACCTAAACTTCCTATCTATCAAAATGCATAGTGTTTACTCCGTTTCATATTGTTTTAATGATATCCACGGAATTTCATCAAAAGAAATACACCCCAAGCCAACCTATCAAACCAAAATTCCCCAAGGAAAGCACAAAGAAAATCACCCTACCATATATAAAGAATGTCTCAGAAATCACTGCAAGACTCTTCAAACCTTTAGGAATTGACGTCGCACACAAACCAACGAAATCACTTCACTCAGTTCTATGTCAACCAAAAGACTCAACAACGAAAGAAGATAAAACCAACATCATCTACAAAATAAATTGTAACAGCTGCGAAAAACACTACATTGGTCAAAGTGAACGTCCCCTTCGTCTTCGTATCCACGATCATAAGCTAGTCGTCAAAAGACATGACATCCACTCCCGCATATGACTACATACAGACAACCACAGGCATCAATTCGACTGGGACAAAGTTCAAATAATAGACAGAGGAAACAACAAGAATGCTAGAGAATTTTTAGAAGCTTGGCATTCCAGTGAATCATCAATCAATAGACATATCGAGATAGACAGATTTTATCAACCGATAAGAAAGAAACCTCACACACAAAGGGTCAAAGTTCAAGTCAAACAAACAATTCAATACAAGTAACCTAGAAGGTGTGAAAACACACAGAAACAACCAATCACGTCCAAGGTCATCGGGAGGGGTGATCAATAAACTCGTGGAGAAATCTACAAGGTCACTTCAAATTGAAGTATGCGCTGAAGATGTCGCCTAGTATGGCGATGAAAGCTTCACAAATTAACTATCCAGCTCAGAGAACATTACCACATCAAAATAGGTCCTTTCGCTTACAAGGCGAGCTCGTAGATCATTAAGCCACTGGGATCCGACCCAATGGCCCATGAATTCCAACTTCTGCCAGTTCACGATATAGCGCAACCACTAGCCAATGTCTTCGGCGAGTCAGAAACTAGGATGAAACCGCTGTCCAGTACTCCTACATTTTCCAATGGTTCTCTAATCGATATCAGTTCATGATAAAATCCTGAAACGAATTTCAAAGAATAATTCACAAAAACTGGTGGAATATCCAGAAGTAACCAGTTTGAGAAACGTGAATCAACATAAGAATTAACTAACCACTAGTCAACAGCACATAATAACGTACATTGCCAGTCACACGTATTGTTTAAAGGCTAGTAATTCTATCTGACTGTTTCAACCTCGGGTGGCGTTTGAACCTGTGACCCAGAGGTTGGAATTCAAGAGCATAGACCAAAGGGCGACAGATACGACACAAGCATAATGCGACTTGGAGAGTGAGACATAGGTGAATGTTACCTAACGTTTTAGGTAATAATAAAATTTTATATAGGTTTCGTCAAACAAAAAATATTGTACCTCCATAACTGAGTTCTTATAGGCAGTCGAATGACACAGTGTATAACAACAACTAAACCATTTCACTTCAAAATGTTGATTCAATAAAGCAGATTAGTCACGAATTCATTCGTGTAACATGTAAATCAAATAATTTACGCTTCATTTAATCGAATTTTAAATTTTCCCGTCGATTGATTGGACTGAAGTGCTCGGTCTCAGGTTGACATGTC